TGGTAAATATATTAGTAGCGCTTCGTCATCGCTATTGAGTACTCAGTTGTTCAAGAAACTCTCTCTTTATAGAACCTGAAGAATCCTCATTCATCGCCAAATCCCTCCTCTACATTCTACAAAAAGTCCAGCAATATTAAATTAATTCTTGCATGAAACACGTCACATGTGCAGCGATGGTGACTGAATGACCTTCCATTACATGACAGGCCCACTTTCGTAATATCCCGCGCCATGGTGAAGCCAGATCGTTAAGGTAAACACGGAATTGGCTATAAAAATAAGGTCGCTGTGCCAAAGTAATTAAGCACTAAGCAATTAAGACGTATGGGGGAGTGGATGTGTAGATCCACGTTTCCTTGACCTCGGCACTAGTTGGAGGTGAGTGGTCAGCTCCACGCTCCGGCCGCTTTACCCCCAGGGAAAGAGCCCCCAATAGGATAGGAGGCTGGGTGGACCATAGATCCGGTCTGCACAACACAGAGAAGTTAAAATTCTTGCGCTCATCGGGGCCCAATCTCAAATTCCTTGGTTGTCCAGCCCGTAGCCAGTTGCTATACCGACTGAGCTATCCTGGCTCTATACACAGGATTGGATTCCATTTTCAAATTATAACCCTGCAATATCGCCTGGGAGTTTTAACCACTCCTTTGCATGTGAAATGCTTTTGACTCTGGATGCCTCAGTAGGAAGGTACATGCCATGAATTTGATAAAATTCTGGGAACTGAGCGGCTGAGCAACTGCTGGCTTGTACAGAATGAGCCAGCTCCACAGAGTTAGTTACTTGATCACTTCCATAGCTAAATATTCAAATCACATTGTATCATCATCATCATCATCATCATAATCATTGCCATCATTGTTGCCTATTATTATTAAGAGCCTCTATGCTGTTAAGTTTGCACATAAATAAACATGAATTGAATTATTATTGTTGTTGTTATAATTGTTATAATTAGAGAGCCAGGATGCCTCAGTCACTATAGTGACAGGTTACTGGCTGAACAGCCAGTGCTTAATTCACAGCAGGGGCAACATTATAAATTATGTATTTTTCTCTACTCCAGCGTCCAGGCTGACCCTGGGGTCCACCCAGCCTCCTATCCAGTGGGTACCAGGGACTCTTTCCCAGGAGTAAAGCAGTCAGGGCATGGAGATGACCACTCACTTCCATCAAATGCCAAAGTCAAGAATGGTAGAGCTATACCTCCACTACCCCATATGCCTTCATGGCACAGTGCTTACTCAGTTAAGCACAGGGACAAATTTACCTTTACCTTACACATGATTCTGCTGATTTGAGGACAATCTAAACATTTAATTTCCTTCAAACCACCTTTTGTCTCTTCTGCTGGCATTGATTCCACTGAGGGGTGGGTGTATGGATGAAAAGCCTTCAACTGTGTTTGCCTACCCACAATTTGTAACCTTGCACCTCTGTCCATACTGTTCCTCTGCTTGTAATACTATCAGCCACTTGGGTAAGCCACCTCAGTCTGCTCTCCCGAGACTGTAGTCTAGTTTCCATTAAGCAGCGAGCTGATGCATGAGAAACTTTCAAATATACATGCACTCCCACAGTTTTCCATTTTGAGTCCACAAGTTTCTCCTGCTTGTTTAATCATCCATCACTCATGTGGGTAAGTCATCTTGATTTGTGCTGTCCTTTGGATCTTTTGCCTCTTAACATATAATTCCAAATCCCTACCATGTCATCTGATTACATCCACTGTTTCAGTATGTACCAATCAATGCAACTTTTTCATCCATGAAATCCCAATTTTTATCCTTGTGTTTCCACAGAGCTTTCTCTGTCACTTTTTTGTTTAGAAATTGAATGTATGCCTCTCCCATACTCCTTCCCATGTATTCATGTGGTAGGGAAATTCTGTTGGGTGTTATCTCCAGCCCTACCGAACCAATTTAATTTTGCTGGAGCAATTGCATTTATAAGTCATTTGCCACAGACAAGGATAAAGTGAATCACCAGTCCATGTAAAGCCCATTGATAAGTAACTTTCATTATAAAGATAGATCTTTTATGTGTGTGTTGTTACACGAGTGCAGTGAAATTTGTCAGAGGCTTGTGATATTTTGTCACTGCCTATAACAGAATCGTCTGTATGCCTAGGACTAAAGTCACGTGATTCCTCCCAAAAAATCATGACACAGGACCATCAGACCCATCACAAGGGTTAATAAAATATAAAATAGAATGGCATGATAGATAACTAAATGAGAAAATCGCAAAAAAACGAAATATGAGAACTTCACAATGCTTCCAACCTACAAATTCAACCTTATACAGGGTTTATGACAAGCATGTGCAGTATTCCTCTGTGACAGTGTTGCTAAGCACCAAATTCCCGTCCCCCATTCAGGCCTGTCTTCATTTGCTGCACCCTCCTCTACAAGTTACCACAAAAGAATGAAAATGACCTTTGAGATCAGATGGCAGGTTATTAAAAATGTTGATTCCATCATAATATGCGCTTTTCTGAAAGCATGAGAGGTTAGCAATTGGTCTATGAAGACAGTGTTTGTGAACATGCTGGAACAAAACTTTATGCCCCATTTTGCACATAAAATGAAAAGGTTTATAGCCCAGCAGTTAGCAGTTCAGAACATAACTAAAGACAGTTCTTGTGATTCAGAACTTCTACCTTGCAGATTAAATCCTATTTCAAGTAAGTGCAACTTCACGTCATTGGTCAGATCACCACATAGACAATATGCTTCAGCCACATGGTGATTAAACTAGTGCAGCAAAATTGTAAAATACAATTTCCAATAAGTTTTGACTGTATGAAAACATGTGTCTGATTGCAACAAATTTCTATACCTATATTTGCGTATGTGGACTTTATTTAGGTGTGTTGTAGCCTGTACTGCTAAGAAATGTTAGGCTAATTGTAGTTATGTGTCTGATTGCACTGCATAAACTTGTATATGCTTGCTGTCTCTGAACATACAGAAAATTGCTATACAGTTACTCATAATGTGGCTGTGTGATTGAATCTGTTGTTTTTCCAAATGCTTTATACTCTAACATAGCCCGATATCTTTTTGTGTAGAGCTGGTGGGATACAGATGTGTCTACCTACCCATCTTGCTGGCAAGGATGATTATTAGAAACTTGGCTTTAACTCATTGTGTCTTGTCATGTCTTGTCTGTTCATTGTAAACCTGACCGGCTGTGCGAGGAGGTCTGATGTTTTTGAGGATCCAAACAAAATTCTTTCACAGCAGTCTGTGTTCACTAGCTTTAGCTTCAGAATTGATCACAGACAGCAGAATGTTATGGGAATACAGGAAAAGCATTAGAATTTAAGAGCAGAGGTTTCATGTTGTGGTAAAATAACAAGTATGGGGATATTTTTTAATAGTTATGTGGGGATAATCTGGCCAATATAAGATGTGAAACCAGCAGGCATTTCAGGAATAAAAATAGGGAATATCTGAAAGACAAAATTGATGAGCTTGCATCGAACAGTAACTCTCTCACTCACAGAGCTGAGCCCTTCTTGAGAAGCCACCAATTGTGCAGCTACTCAAGAACTTCCCAGCATTTTATGTCACCTGAAGGTTCAATACGGTGTTCACAAGAGCCCTTCACTGGTCCCTATCCTGAGCCACATCAATCCAATCCATACCATTCCATCCTATTTCTCTAAGATCCATTTTAATATTGTCCATCCACCTATGCCTTGGTCTTCCCAATGGTGTCTTTCCTTCTGGCTGTCTTGCCTTCCTCTTATGTCTTTCAGTGGTAGTGAAAACAATATGAAAGTAGAAATTTTACTTAAAACAAAGAAAATAGTTAAGAAAATATCAAATATTTGGACATCAAGCTGCTGAAACAACATAATACAATTCCATTAAAAGTGGCATCAGAATGCATCTTTGATAATAAATCCAAATGCCACCATTTATTAGCACCTTGGTTACAAGTTCTCTTAATCACACAAGTTACAATTTGCTGCTGCACACGCACTAGGATTCCCAGTCTTCACTAGTCATCGCCTGGCAACAGATCTCAACACAGAAACTGGCACTTTAAATCACTATGAAGTCTTGTTATTTCATCTTCAATCACTCTGTGTGAATTAATCCTGAACAGTCCTTTACAATACTCCCTTGTGCAACCTCAATGTTTATTCAGGAGCAGAGTTCAGAGTGCTAAATAATGACATCCCAACTTCACTGGTTTGCTTCTTTATCACAATGATGAGCAGCAGAGTTAATTGGTCAATATAATTGTCATTTATGCCACCACCAGCAAACAGTGCATTCAACTTGCCTTTTACAATTCTCTGCATGTACAGCAGTGTTGTTGTTATTTCTATTCCTACCCTCATACATGGTTCAGAACCAGGTATGTCCAAGTATGGTAAATCCACCTGATACTAGGTGTGTAATCACAATACATGCTTCTGAGTAGTTAAATTCAGAGACCACAATGTTACATAAATCATCATTGACAATGACAGACAAGATTGCCTGAGACAATGTTTCAAGTCTATGTTTCTTTTAAAAAATTTACTATTCTTATTGAGATAAGCATAAATATATGATAACTGAATTATATGTCTTCAGAAATTATAAATCTTACTCTTATGCACTACCACATGTGATGTGTCGAAGACAAGTGCCTTGTTTTCAAGACTGAGAATCACCTACTTCTGCTCAGCAGTGATTCAAATTAAGTGGACATATTGCCAACATTAGTTGTAAAAATACTGCATTAAGTTAACCCTTGTGAACTACAACAGGATATTTATACTGTTAGACCTAAATCATATACTGCTGTCAACCATAATGTAAATAATACTGATGCAATAACAAGAAAAAGTAAGGTGGGCAAAGTGGCACTGGGGCAGGTTTTCTCTGAACACTTTGGTTTCCCCTGCCAATTCACATTCCACTGACTGCTCCACAGTCATAATCATCTATCATCTGGGGCTGGTACAATAGGCCAAACAGTTGCCAAAGCACCAAGTGGACTCAGTCTCACCCCACAAGAAAAAAAAAAAAGAAGATAAATCTTCAGGAAGAAATAAATGTAATTTCCAAAACAGAAGATTAACTTGGTAAATGACATGTCTGAAATATATGAGCTGTATTGTGCATCTGTTAAATAATATCATTCGCAGAGAAACATGGAATTTACTTAAGTTGTGGACTTACTGTAACTTCTGGAATATTTAAGTATCACATGCCTAGGCTATACCGTTTTGGCTATCAAACTTTTGCATCATTGTAATTACTAGACTTTGGTGATTCAGGTAAAAGTCCAGCCCGTGAGCTTGCTGTCAAGTCCATTAGTAATTGCTCATTGTCTTGATAATCCATTCCTACTGCAGCTTGCTGGGCACTAATTGACCTTACTAACCTCTGTATGAATCTGTCTTTCCTTTCTCTTTGTCTCTCAGACTTCAACCTTGTGAATTCATCCTCTGATGTACTGTCTGTACTTGAACTACCTATACTGACATTATCACCATCAGCATGGGGTGCTACTGTTGTGCTACTTTGACTGTCCTGTGATCCTATTTGGCTTGCACTACCAAGTCCAGAGGCATCATCATTTCTAAAACCAGGCACACTTTTCAGAGAAAGTATTTCTGGATAAGTCACATTTGAATGGGCTGGAGATGTTGGCACTGGAATTGCAGCAGATGCAGGTGCTGATGAAGAGAGAGGTGGGAAGTTCAAATGTCCTGTGTGAAAAGAACCTTTTGGGACAGCTACTGGTGCAGAGGCAGGTGGAGGGCCAATTGGTACAGGGAAGATTGTTCTGACATTTGGTCGCTGATCTGGTGGCTTTACGGATTGCACAGTAGATTGTTCATCCACTTCTTCTATGACCTGATCAGCTATTCTCATGCTTCCACCACCCACAAATTTTGAATGTAGACTGGCTGAGCTGTTACTCGTTGGGAGTTTTGGCAGAAGACCTCCTGAAACAACATATTACACCATACACTGAGTAATGAGGCTTATAGCATAAATAAGCAAATTTACTTCAACAAATTATCACACCACTTTTAAGAAGCACTTGATTTACCAGAACAATAGAACAGATTTTAATGAACACATAATCGATGAAATAAAATAAAATTAATTCCCCTTGATGGGTTACAGAGAGATAAAGCATGAGACAAAATCTCTGATAGGAAGTAATGTGTTATGATTGCCAGGGACGTATTCAGTACTTAGAACTATATCTCACTTATGTGCATTAACAATACAACAAAATCATAAGAGAGCCTCAGAAAAACCAGTCAGAAAAATGAACTGGCAGTCAGCTGGTGTCTTAATGGCATAGAATGCTTGATATTTCAAGAACACACTCGCTCAACATTTTCCATGCAACAGAAAATTGTTACACTTATAGCCCTCCTTTAATAAATCTTCTGTATGGTGTTCTAGAGGCTGTTTGTGAAATACTGCTAAAATGAAAGAAAATAACTACACTTCACCTTAACTTCACTCTTGTTCAAGAAAAGTACATTGGGATTATGAAATTACTCTAATTTCAACAATTTGAATGACATTTTCAATCTTCATACAGTTATTTGATGATATTGTCACACAGTATGTGTGTGATTATAGACAGGGTTTGGATTGATGGCTCGATTTATTGACCACTTATACACCCGACCTGGAACTACAAGCAGTTACAGTACCACTGCTAATTTCCACAAGACCGACTAAGCATTTTTCCAGCCTGCTGTGTCTTCAGCAGCCATTCCCTGGTAATGGCTTCTAACAGTGGACATTCTTCAGCTTCACGTGCTCAGGTCCTCTCTTCGCAGCCTCCCATGTGGAACTGCCTATTCTCACTAAGCTCCAAACCTCTCAGTTACAACATTTCAGCATAGACCACATAGAAAACAACCCATTTCCATTGTTGTAGTCCAACTGTTGCATTATTAAGAATCTGCTGCCTAACAACAGGAACGCGTTAACCAAGCCATTGCCCAGAAATGGTTGCTGTTTACAGAATCACTGCTTAGCAGCCGCTCTATATGTGACAATATAAACAAAAAAACATTACACTTCAAAGCCATCTTAAATATTATAAATATAATATTTTACTCATTTTAACATGTTCTGAACCACCCACCTCCATCTACAGTAACAGACGTCTGAGTCGCAGTTGTGTTAGCTGTGGGCCCTTCTCTGGAGAATAACCGCCGAAGAACTGATGTTACTGAACCCACACGATGCAGTGAGCTGGCCAGACTACCTGTGTTAATACTGGATGAAGAATCGGCAGACGCTATGCGGTCACGTGTGCTCACACGACTTATACTTCTCTTTGGACCAGCTGAGAACTGTATTACACTCTGTGCATCATCAGACTGCAAGACAATAAATGTTGAACTTACCATCTGTCACAAACTTCCTTCATATTAAATAAATGTTCTCTGTGGTTTGTGATTAGTCTAGGTTGTGACAAAATTTCTTATATGGCCTTGTATTCTTTGTATATGTTCAATATTTAGTGCCAGGCATGAACCAAATGAGAAATGTATATGCAGTTTTGATTAGGAAACCTGAATGTAAGAGATCACATGGGAGACCTAGGCATTGACAGAAAATAATTCAAAATTAATCTTTAAAAAATTGGGTATGGAAACATAGATGACTGAACTTGCTCAGAATATGGTCCAATGGTAGACTTCGTGAACATTGTAATAAAATTTTTGGCCCCTTAACCGATTTCTTAAGTGGCTGGATGATTATCAATTTCTGAAGTAAGATCCTTCACTGTGGAAACTAACAAATTATGCAGCTGTGCTTAAATTTATAGGGGATGGTTTTACACATTACAGCTAAAAGTTAATAATATTCCCTTCTCTATTTTCATTGCAAAGAAAATGCCACTACTTATTATAATATTTATATGGACATACTAAGAGTATTGTAAATGTAATTACATGGTAAAAACCTCACTTCATAAGTTCATAAGAAGAAACAAATTCTGATGCTGTATATACTGTCCATTTTACTTGTGACAGAAAAAGCCTTGAATTCTTTTCATATATAAAAACCTGATAAATAATATTCAATGATACTGAAAGATGTCCTTGGCTACAGCATGAAATTTCTCTGAAAACGTGTTAAAACTGCTAACTAAAAATAACTTTCAATCAGTTATCAAATTCCAACACAGCTCCCTATTTTTCTGAAGCAGTGCTTAAGGTTCAGTCAGGAAAAGAATGAACACAGATTATCCATTGCCCATCAGACCAGTAGCTACATCCTTTCTACATGCCTTCCACCACTCATAAATTTCCATTTGTACTGTGGCCTGATGTTACGAATTTCCACTGGCAAATCATGTAAATTTCATTAAGTAAACATCAATAATGCAGTAAACCATTCCATTCTCCTAAGGTAAGAAGACATGCCTGAGCTGTTATAATGGAGAGGAAATGCTCAGTGTAGACAGGGTGCAGTGGGGGGGCAAGGAAACAGCTTGAACTCCCCTGTGTGTGTCCATTCCTTCCCTGAGCAGACTGCAGATACACTATACAGTAAAACTTCTCTAAAGACCACTCCCATCTGAAGACCATATCTGTGTGGTATAGCTTACATTTTAGACCATTTTAGAAAAACAAACACCCTATTTGGAGACCACCTCTGTCCTTGACCAGTGACCATGCCTGGTTTTTACCAAACACTTTCTAAAGAGACATGACAGACACATTAGACAGCATGAAGACTTTAATCAGTTTGTTAAGTAATGATTTAATATCTTAATTTAATGAGTTGTGGGATATAATTAAGAACCTAGATGTATCAACAAATTTTGTACTTTTTAAAGCCAACAGACCAGTAGCGTATTGTACGAGGATCTATCGGAAAGTTCCCAGACTAGGTCAAAGAAGAAATGCTGGATTAATTTACTCAATTTTGGCTGCCATCTCCTTCAAAACAGTCTCCTTGGGAACGTATACAGCGATCACATTGTTTTTCCATGCTTCAGAACCACTGTGGAAGTCATTTTATTTAATGCTGTCAAGTAGCATTTGTAATTCCCTTTGGATGTCAGACACTGTTTCAAAACATCGCCCCTTCAGTTTCATGTTCAATTTGGGAAACAAAGCGAAATCACAGGGGGCTAAATCTGGCGACTAGGGAGGAGGGGAAGTGAAAACCATGCTGTTGTTAGTCACAAACTCTGTGGTTTCCAGAGACATGGGGGCAGGCATGTTGTTATGATGAAGGAGCCAGTTGTGGTTGCACCAAAGTTCTGGTCTTTTTCATTGCACATTTTCTCTCAGGTGCCAAAAAACATCACAGTGAAAGTCAGAGTTCACCCTAGTGTTAGGAGGAATAAATTCACATTGAACAATCCCTTTCACGTCAAAAAGAACAATAAGCATGCTCTCTGTTGAACTCCAGACTTGCCATGCCCTTTTTGCCCTTGGTGACTGTGGGCTCTTCCACTGTGATGATTGTTGCTTTGTTTCTAGATCATAACCATAAATACAACTTTTGTCACCCGTTACGATCCTAGAGATACTCATAAAAGTTAGGTCCTCATTATCCTTCTCTCATAGCTCAAGACACAGGTTTATGTGTAACTGCTTTTGGTTATTTGTCAAGAGTCAGGGAACAAACTTCCTGGCAATGCGGCACATGTTCAAATTTTCTGTTAAGATTTCCTGGCAAACTATATAACTGATCCAACAGTGTCTGAAAACTCATTGATTTTTTGGCTACTGTCTTTGTCGATAAGTTATCAATTTTTTCAACATTTTCTGTTGTTTTGCTGGTGCTTGGTCGCCCTGAACGTTCATCATCTTCAACTGACACTCGACCACCCCTGAAAAATGAATGCCATTTGAAAACCACTGTCCAGCTTAAAGAATGTTCTCCAAAAGCCTCATGAAGCATTTCAAGGGTTTTGGTAGCAGATTTACTGAGCTTCAGGCAAAACTTGATGCAGACACGTTGCTCGATTTTGCCATCCATAACAGACAAAACAAAACACAAAATCGAAAAAGCACTCATATAAAAACAATTGGTGTTCACAATGCAGTGTCACAGGGCAGACTGATGCAAAAGGCTTGTGGTTGCATGACCTTGGCCTCCCCCCTCATCTTCTTTCACCGAGGCAGTTACAGCAATAAAAGTCCAGGAACTTTCTGATACACCTTGTATGTAGTACATGTATATGTATGTTTTTTTTTTTAATTCCTAACACTTGACTGAAGTTACTTATTGCACCTGCTATTCATGTAGGGTAATATTAAAGGCAATAAATTCATGCAGCACAGTTGTTACAGAATATGTATGTATGGTGTTTGCTGCATTATGCTACCCAAATTCTCATCCATCTGACCCTGCCATCCACCCCTATAAAAGACCACTTATGGGCGTTGCAGTCGATGGTCTTATCAATAAGTTTCACTGTGTATGGCTGACTGGCAGATTTTTTTGCAGACTTACAGCATGATCAGCCAAATCATCAGTTTTGACTGATGAAGGCATAACATATTCAGCCGCTGACTTGGACACGTCAATGTTGGCAGTTGATGGCTGAGGATGTTCTTCCCGGAACTGCTCAGTTTCAACTGTGTAAGGCAACTGAACTGGGAACACCTCATCCCAGTACTGGTCCTTGATCAGTTCTGGGTGTTCATGATGCATTTCATCCACAATCAGATAAGACACCTGAAACATGTAACATCAGCTACTTCATATGTTTCTTTATTAATATTATTTAATAATGTGAAGTTTAACAGCCATACGTCATAACGTGTAAACATAGATTTCTCTCTAAATTCAAATTTTGAGATGTCTTAAAAATGGAAATCTAAGGGTTCATTTTCCTATCATTTTATTCTGTTTTTAATTTTTGTTCCTGTCTTTCCAAGTGCTCAAATGTTGACACATCAAACATATTTCCAATATACTGTGACATGGAAATCCATTGCTATGCAGTGCCCACAACACACATGCAGCCAACAATACTGGAGTAGTGTTTTCTCCGTATCCATGCAGCTTGCACATGTGCAATGACATCATACCACAATTGTGCTTAGTGAGCATGTGATGTATTTGCTGTAGCTCTGTGCAGAGAGTTTATAGGGGACAGCAAAGGTCGTAGCTGAGAAGCCATGAATCATACCTAGAAGCAGAATGAAGAGAGGATTGGCAGTTGAGAGAATTGAAGCAAGTCCAGGATAGTTCACTTGAGAGTTCAGATGAGGAGAATTCAATCAAAGAGAATTCAGAAGGCGGCTGAATAGCTGAAGTGTTAACAGACGCTGAAGACGTGATTTCATGTGTAACAGTTACAGTGATCTTGTAAGCATAAGAACTGATTGTAGAGAGGACAGAAATCAAAAACCCATCTTAAGACATTGATACACGTGAAAATATTCTTATAGTTTGTTTCTCTGTATAGTGGTTTCATGTTGCAAACAGATATTTAGTTTCTTCTTTGTTTTATTTTATCCTGTTTTTGTTTTCAGCTAATAAATTAACATTATCAGTCATGTGTTCCATTCAATTCAAGTCTCTCCCATTTCTCTTGAACTTTCCAAACTGCATGTTCTGGGTAATGTAACACATCACACTAATACATAAGGTAGTGGCAGGATTATAAGTATCATGACTTGACACAAAGCATAAAATGTTACAAATTATGATCTTACCAGCATAACTGAGAGATCACTTTTTGAGTCTAGCATAGATACATGTAACATCTGGACTGCTAGTAACATGTAGCTAATCCCATTCTCCCTTTCTTACATCCTCACTTACCTGCAGGTTCCTGTCTACCAGCCAATTCACTTCAAAATCATCATCATCTTCTCCAAATGGATTGATTAAACTCTCTGCCACTTTGAGCCACCCCATGTAGAAGAAGAACTAAACAAAAAACAAAGCAGATTTGTATATATAACTTCACATATTGAAATTTAACAATAACAATGGTGACACTCACTCAAGGGGCTGAGTCCTTCTTGAGAAGCTGCCAATTGTTCAGCTACTCAAGAACTTCCCAGCATTTTATGGAACCTAAAGGCTCATTACCGTGTTCACAAGATCTCTCCATTTGTGTCTATCATCATCCAGACAAATCCTGTCCATACCACCCCACCCAAAAAGATCCATTTTCATATTGTCCACCCACCTACGCCTTGTTCTTCCCAGTGGTCTCTTTCCATCTGGCTTTCCCACCAATATTCTATATGCATTCCTCTTCTCCCCCCATTGGTGCTACATACCCTGCCCATCTCATCATCCTTGACTTATACTTGGAGAAGAGTTCAAGTTATGAAGCTCCTCATTACGCAGTTTTCTCCAACCTCCTTTCACTTCATCTCTCTTTGGTCCAAATATTCTCCTCAACACCCTGTTCTCAAACACCATCAGTCTATGTTACTCCCTTAATGTCAGAGACCAAGTTTTACACCCATACAGAACCATAGGCAAAATTACAGTTTTGTATATTCTAATTTTTATGTTTTTAGGCAACAGATGAGAAGACAACAGGCTCTGGACTGACTGATGGCAAGCATTACCTGAGTTCAATCTCCTCTTAATTTCCTCCTGAATCAGGTTTTAATTTGTTATCATTGTTCCCAAATATCTGAACTGTGCCACATTTTCAAAGCATCTGTTACCTATCTTCATGTCACGATTTTGCCCTGCATTTTGGTGATGAGGCAGCAACATATACTTAGTTTTCTCTGTGTTTACTTCTAGACCAACCTCCTTACTAGTGTTAATTAAAGTTTGTGTGTTTTTCTTTATGGTACCTACGGTATATTATTACTCAGTAGATTCACATCATCAGCATAGACCAACAACTGATGTGTCCCATTTAATTTCAATCCCACCTGGTTTTCCTGGACCTTCCTAATGGTAAATTCTAAAGCAAAGTTGAAAAGTAGTGGCAATAAAGCATATCCTTGTCTTACATCATTCTTGACAGGAAATTTATCAGACAAATGTTTACCCATACAGACTTCACCATAGTTTCCAAACGTATTTTTTGTGGTGTCACATCCTTCATTGATGTTGCAGACATAAGCCTATTTTTGACAAAGCTGATCAACAGTAGAGATGGTACACATTATAGCAATATAAATTGTTCTTTCATTGGTTTTTATTAATACACACCAGCAGTGGGGTATTTGTGTCAACCATATTAACCGAATCATGACACTCAATCATCACTGTAGGAGCTTTGTAAATGCAACTGGATATAAGTTTTTGAAGCCTTCACAAGAAACATAATGGATTATGCTGCTGGACTTGAATGTCATGTTCCAACTTAAGGCCTCCCATTCACTTTGCCCTAAGCCAAAAAGAGATGAAAATCACTGGAAGCCAAGTCTGCACACTGAAAAGGCTGTTACAGTACATCTCAGCCTATTTTCTAGAGATTCATCCATTACAGCATATAAGGTCTGGCATCACAAATATTTGCATCAGTGACAGCAATGTGCAAGGCATCAGTTCTGGATAATTTGTTCAAGCAACACAGAAGATAAAAACACTATTATTAATCACTCCATAGAGCTCTCAAAGAATTACGAAACTGGAAACTCCCTCATTAACAAAAAACTTCATGACACACTGTTGTTCTGCTTCACGCCTCCCTGCTCCATTACCACTTTGAATAGCAATATAAAACAATTGATAGGCTTCTGCCACTAGACATCATTTGAACATGTCTGTGCCAAGTCTTGTCATTTCATTCAGAGTCCAAGAGTACAAATGAAATTCATTCCAAGATGTTCACTGCATTTTACCGAGAATTCTCTCTATGAAATATAATTGAAAAACACCAAATGAGAGCACCGCAAATAGTAAATAACAGATGGAAAGATATAACCTATCCATTAGTCATTCCACTTTTACAGGTCACATGAACAAAATATGGAAAAAAAGTTAATTAAGACAGATTTTAAAGAAAGATATCTTGGAAGACAAACTAATAAAGAACAGAATAAGATAGCATGGGGGCATAGTAAGAATGAAGAAAGAATCCCACAGAAGGTTCTGAACTTGAAACTGAAGGAAAATGCCAAAGAGGAAGACCCAAGATCAGTATGAGAACAAGAAGTTAAGAAAGATGTCACACAGAAGGAAGGAAGAATATGGAAGGAAACTAAGGACCAGAAAAAATTTTAAGAAACAGACAGATGGAGAGGCTTGATTGCTAGATGACCCACATTAAGAAGAAACAAAGAAGGAAGAAGATAAAAATGAAACACAATATAAAAATATGTAAGTTTTGAGGTTTTCACGGCGATGACAATGAATAAAGTCGTCNAAAACTAGTTTACTCATGTTTGACTATCCACTAACTCTTACATAAGTTCTCCTTGACTTCAGGGTACAATATCCTCATCCACAAATACAGATATTGGGAGCTCCCTGCACCCCATTATGTAGTAGGCCTACAGAGTTAGAATAATTTTTACCTGTAATGTTGTAAAGATGGGGAAGTACAGATCAACTGCGTTTCTATATTTCTGCAAATTTTCATCTACGCCCTCTACCCACTGCCGTCCCATGATGCATGTTATGAAATATGAGTACACAGCCAGTGTGACCACCTGGAAAACAAACAATGCAATGCTAGTTCTGTGAATAATCGATGTGCAGGTTTTATGGACCTTCATTACAAATAGTGAACTATGACATTACATCAGAATGTTAATCTATTACACATTCTGTACACATAAAATTAAATCCAGTTTCTATGTGAAATCTGAGGTTCTCACAGCGATGACTATGAACAGTACTATCTTCTGGGTAGTGACAGCATGTAATCTGGTAGATTTACCAACATTTCAGAGGAATATACTGCCTCCATCTTCAGTCTGGTAATGGGCACAGGCAGCCGTGAAGATGGGCACAGTATCTTCCACTAAAACATCAGTAAACTTCCACTAGACTACAAAGGCTCATATCAGGGTACCCTTTCTTTGTATGTGTTATTCCAAAACCTACAAGATGGATTTTATCTAAATTTGATATTAGATAACTCAAGAGACGAAGAATCTTCTTTTTTGCACAGGGATCAATTCAGCAAAAATAAAAACGTTTATGGGTCTCATTTTAAACGATAACAAAAACACTTTTTATTACACTGTTTTATTGACTCCAATAGAAAAAATGTACATTGTTACAACTTGGAATATCCACTTTATTGAGAATGCTTTTTAGCCTTTAACATGTTAATATCTGGCCACATTTGAGAAGCTGCAATACAGAGGCAGCTTTCTTATCTTTCACTGTCAAGCCAGAATCTTGATGTGTTTCTTCAAACACTCACCTTTCAAAATAATTTCTCACAAAAATATGTACTTCAAAAAAAGTTTGTCACTCTCACACATGGTTTCTGAGCACAGGAAACTTATCACCAGGCAAACAAAACTTATAGAAGTCAAAAAGTGTAACGTTGAAGTCCTCATTGCACTGTAAATCTGTGGTTTGGAACAGTTTTGATATTAATATCAAATGAATCTGAAAGCAAACTGAAAGCGGCCTCATGCTCTTGAAAATGTTGAAACTGAGAGCTAAATTCCTGTGGCAGAATCGAATTTCTCCAGCATACACCATAATGTCCGTTGGTTTCTTCACTTTTACAGTTGGGAAATGTGCCTTATCATTTGACTGTGACTGCAGTTCTCACAGCTGAAACTTAGTCTCAAATGCCGTTATTTTGGCAAACATCTCACTGATGAATTGGTTCATTCTTTGCAGAATGCTATTCAGTTCATGTAGGTATTGTGTGATATTAATGCAGAATGACAATCATACATCTAGTCATGTTCGGTAAGCTGTGAGGAAGATTTTCTCTTATATCCAGAAATAGATTTATTGCCAACTTTAAATCGTACACAAGTTTACACATTGTCCTCAACTCAACCAGTATACTTTTGAACAGTGCAGAACCTACCCATTCTCAGAATCCACATCACTCAAAAACTGTTTACATTGGTGATGGTTCAGCCCTTTTGATCTAATATAGTTACTGAGTTCTGTAACAAGTGAACAACAGTAGTCATTTCTATGGATTCGGTGCACAGATTTTCTTGATGTATCAAGCAATGGTTCACAAATAAATTGCAGCCAGTTCTATTTTCACAGCTTTCATAATAAGCAAAGAGAGGCCACTGTTTATTCTCACTATAGACAATATCCCATCTCTTACAACTCCAACTAACTTCTGAATTGGAATATTCAAATTTTGCAGCACATTTCTTGAGTTCATCATACAAATCTTCACTTGTAATAGCCCCTTTCATAGCCATTAGACAAGCTAATTCCTTAGTTGCATAAAATGCATTATCTTTTCTTCAAACAAAAATAGTAAATTGTGCTGTCAATCATATGCATGTTTTTGTTCATCCCCCCCCCCCACAAATGAAAATTTGTGGCGTTCTCTTTTAACTGTGGCATGCAAAATTTCCAAACCAAAGGATTCATATTTGGAAATTTGTATTATATGTTGCCGTACACTCTTCCATGTATTTATAACTAGTTTAATCTATTAGAGCATGCAAGTTCATATATGAAGACACAAAAATCGACTTTAACAAAGAAATTAAGCAACAAATAATTCATGTTACTATAAGTTGTATAATGAAGAAGTAATGAAAAGGAACTCAGTAGTAATTAAGACATATCTCCCAGTTCCTTTCTCTTCAAGTGGATGTGCATAACCAATTTGGGGGTGCATGTTGCTGGAGTATGATCTTGTTATAATGAACTTTGCAAGGAACAGTGGTGAAATTTACCTGTGTATATACCAGAGGCACACTGATGGAATCATAGCTCAGCAAAAGTCCACACTGTCCACGAAACTTGTTCAGTTCATCTATGATGGTCTTGACTGCAAAATCATCTCGTATCCTGCCTTCCTTTCTGGCTCTTGTCACTATACTAGCAGCCCACACAATGGGCAGCCAGTGTTTAGAATGCCCCGGGAACTTGGTGTTTAAGTCATTCATTATAGACTTCTCATTATCTGTAAGGAGGCCCGCTTCAACAAAGTGGTCCAATGTTGGAAAACGTTTTTTAACTTTTGGACTGTTCATGGTGAATATCATGGTTAAGCACAGGCAACAGTAACGCATAATTGTCCGACGCATCACACGCCCACGTTCATCCTGAAATGTAAGCAGAGTTCATGAAATATACTCAGTAGATGCTGAAACACAGACTTCATAGAAATAATAAATATCACATTAAAAATAAATAGTGACGGTAATAATACTTGTACTAAGTATATGTTACTGTCTCGTCACCAAAATGCAGGGCAAAATCATGACATAAAGGTAGGAAACAGATGTTTTGAAAATGTGGCACAGTTCAGATATTTGGGAACAACGATAACAGATTGAAACCTGATTCAGGAGGAAATTAAGAGGCGATTGAACTCAGGTAATGCTTGCTACCATTCATTCCAGAACCTTTTGTCTTCTCGTCTGTTGTCCAAAAACATAAAAATTAGAATATACAAAACTATAATTTACCTGTGGTTCTGTATGTGTGTGAAACTTGATCTCTGACATTAAGGGAGGAACATAGACTGAGGGTGTTTGAGAACAGGATGTTGAGGAGAATATTTGGACCAAAGAGAGATGAAGTGACAGGAGGTTGGAGAAAACTGCATAATGAGGAGCTTCATAATTAGAATGATCAAGTCAAGGAGGATGAGGTGGGCAGGTCATGTAGCACGAATGGGGGAGACGAGGAATGCGTATAGGATATTGTTGGGAAAGCCAGAAGGAAAGAGACCACAGGGAAGACCAAGGCGTAGGTGGGTGGACAATATTAGAATGGATCTTAGAGAGATAGGATAAATCTGGCTCAGGATAGGGACCAGTGGAGGGCTCTTGTGAACACGGTGATGAACCTTCGGGTTCCATAAAATGCTGGGAAATTCCTGAGTAGCTGCAGAATTGGCGACTCCTCCAGAAGGGCTCAGCTCCATGAGTAAGTAAGTAAGTAAGTAATTAACAATACTTGTATTATAAATAAGTTTCTTAGACAAAGCTACCTTTTATTATACGATAGTAAGGTAAGATGAAGTTGCCTGTGTGCTTGAAGAGTTAAGCACTACATTGTATGTGGAAGATAAAGCAAAGTTGTCCCTGTGCTTAATTAGTTAAGCTCTATGCCATGAAGTCATGAGAACACTGTATCTGGAAGATTAGTGTAATGAGACGTTAATAAGAATATTATTACTGAGGAATGAATGATGTTTAGTACCGCAGGTCAGAACAGCTAAGAATTCTAGGATTCCGTTCCAAAGACAGGCAGGGATTTTTTTCTTCAATATGCTATAACTGGAACCCATCTAGTCTCTTGCTAAATGAATACAGATGGTTTTTTCTCCAGGGGCAAAACATATGGATCATCAATAACCTCCATCTGGTACTAAGATTTAGGATGCACGGAGCTTTAGTTCAGTATCCCTTACATACATCTTTATGGAGTCAGGAAACTTTAGCATAGACTCAAGAAATTTAGGCAATTCCATCATCCAACAAACCAATAACACACAGCAATGTATATGTGGCAGAAAGTAACATACGTAATAGCTACATGAATACATGTTTGGAAGGGGGGTGTCATAATTCCAAAGTGACATATTTTAAAAATAAGGATAAATCAGAATATAAGGATGTTGGCTATCATCGTTGCATTATCATGGAAACGGCAATAATAATAATAATAATCATAATCATAATAATAATAATAAACTCAACAAAGAAGATGGATACAGACTAACTATGGCCTAGCTGGCCCTCTTTCCCTTGGCACCTACCACTCAACCACCTTCAACCAACAACCACTAAACTTAACATATATGCAGACCTAGAAGGTGAACACTTAAAATAATCCATCAGCTTCTTTCCTTTCTGCTAGGGGGAAGAGAAGAGAAATAAACTCTTCTCCTACTTATGTGGTCACTCAAACCCTTTCCCTCACTCTTCTTTCCACCATGTGCCTACTAAAATCTATTCCATCACCTCATGGCCTAGATAATGGGTCGATGAACATTTTTCATCACCCCTTTTCAGGATCACCTGGTCAACAGAACATTTTTCATTGATCATTTCATTAATCACATGATTTCTGAAACATTTTGCATTACCCTCTTTCTAGGTTCATCTGATCACAAGAATATTTCTTATCACCTCTTCTCACCAAACAGGTTGGTGTAGCAATAACACTCTGAATCTGTATTTGGGATGTGTTCAGTCTGAATATAAGTCAGGACGTCAGTTATCAGGAGGCTTCCTGTGGTTTTCTTCAGTGTTTCTAAAGAGGTGTTAATATGATCACGCCCACATAGCTTGGTGCTTATCTCCTGTACTGCTAGCTGACCAGTTTGTAGCTATACACACTACACTGTATATTCTTTGAACTAACATAACATGCATTTATGTGTCATACTTCAGGCACTCAGACGCAACTTCTCTAGCAATGATTGTATAAAGGCTTGTGGCATTGATCAATTCATTGCTCTAAAATTATGTTGGAGTTTGTCCCTTGTCTCAGAAAGCATATTTAATACCAGGCTTCAAAAATTTGCCCCAAAATAGAAGCCAGAATAAACATAAAATCTCTTGTGAGAAATCTGTTAGTTTTTATTAACATAAGGACAATTAAAACATTGACATATAAATAACAGCTAGTCTCTTTCATGCTCAGGGAAAAGACAGTGTACCATTTCTGGGACATGGAGAAAACAAGGAATCTTCTGATGTTATTAGAACATGGAGAGAGGAATGGCGATGAGATGGACAAAGAAATGGGTTGGAAATGAAATTTGAGAGAAAGGTGGAACAGGATAAGGGTAGAGAGGATGAATAACTCTTCTAATGAGGAGGAGAACAGACTGAGGAGGGGAATGATGACAGGATGTACATATAAAAAGGACTGGAAGCAATAAGGGGGGAATGTGGGAAGAAGATAAAGATACGAAAGGGATACAGAAAAGAAGGAAAGAAATTAATTCGTTTGTCATCATGAGCCAATGATAATATAACTGAAGATAATTCTAAGTGCCATAATGAAAAATGTAGATGCAATGGTGATATGGAATCCTGAATGTGTGCAGGCCAGTTTAATACACACCACCTGCCTTCAGGCCATTTCTTGACATCATGATGACACAGGTTTTATTTCTGGCATTAGAGACAACAGTTTAAAGTGACTAATTTCTGTGATGCCTAAGGGAGTGATTTAATGCAGAACAGTCTCTTTTGTATACAGACACCTCATGTCCTGGCTACAATAATGTTTATGAACATGAAACTACTTTCTAAGATTTGAGGTCTTCACGGCAGTGACCATGAAGAAAGCAGGTGCCACATCCTAAAAGACTGCTTTCTTCATGAAACTACTTTATTTTACTTTGTTCTTACTTAACTTATTAAATGCTTTTTGTTTGCCATGTTGCCTAAGGTGTCAGCTTTCTACACAGACATATGCAACTGAATATCTATCTAAGAATGAATGAACTGGAGGCTATCAAATCCAGCACAGAACAAGAGTTAGTATAATGTGCTCTTCTGGCTGCAGCAAGGAAACATCCATGTGGCTGTGGATGTCTTAATGGAAGGATGCCAGATCATGTTGCAACCTTTTCTGAGGATGCAGTCAAGTTTGTGGAGACCAGGAGTATAACTGGTAGCTAATGAATATAAAAAATGTAAGAACACTATTCAAGTACCTGCCCATGTACATTGGAGCTGACAAACACAGCTATAGTGTCAGGCCATGGGATACTGACATATTGATCCCACCACCTTTGCATCACGATTGAAACATAGAAGCCAAGAACGAAGGATAATGGAATGAGATCACTGTAGCTTTCACAGTATTGCACCAAGCCCTCAAACACCCTGTAACACACAATAAAGAAGACACTCAGTTGAGATACTGAAATTAATTGGGACATTACCTGAAATAATCTACAATTATAAATAAATCAGTACCTGGATATGTGCTGTATATTCCTGTATACCTTCCAAAGGATTTCACTATTCTAACGACACTAGGCGACCTATATAAATCAATAAATGCCTTCTAATGTAACATTGTAAACTACTTGTTTCATCCTAGTCAGGTTCAGATATTTTCCTCAGCACATGATTTTAAAATTGCTGTAATTTATATTCTTTCCCCGAAGTAAGAGACCACATTTCACAACCAAACAAAACAACAAGTAACACACACTGCAGTTACGATATTTTATTAAGTTAATTTATTTTATAACAGTCTGGATTCATCTGGCTTGGGACAAAGACCAGTGTCAGGTGCCTGTGAATATGGTACTGCTGCTTTGGGTTCCATAAAACACATTTCTTATTCAGTTGAACAACTACTAGCTTTTCAAGAACTACTGCATGAAACCAGTTTATTTATGCTGTAGGTTTTGCAGAACGTTAAATGAAGAAGCTTCATGTGTAAAACCAAATTACTTTAAATACTGCGCTGGGGGCACAGTATCACAGGCTCATCTACAAATCTCTGACCCAGCACCTGGTTAGTTACACAATAATGAAGTTAATTTCCCAGCTGCAGACTGTTCTTCCACTGATTGTTACCGATGGAGTGGGCTTACTGACATGACTCCTACTGTGTCATTCCTACCTCCCCCCCCCCAAGGTGTTTTGTCAAAGGCACTAAGTCTAAATAGAGGCCGCGCCATAGCTCAAGTGGTCAGTTGCTGCCTTCCCATCGGCGGCCCTGGTTCGATCCCGGGTCTGGTCAAGTGGGATTTGTGGTGGACAAAGTGGCGCTGGGGCAGGTTTTCTCTGAGTACTTCGGTTTCCCCTGCCAATCTTTATTCCACCAATTGCTCCACAATCACCCTCACCTATCATCTGGGGCTGGTACAATAGGCCAGAAGTGGTCGCAGTACAAGGGACTTAGTCCCACCCCACTAGCAATAAAAAAAATAAAAAAGTCTAAATAGAGTATAGTTATCAGAACTGAGAACTCACTTCTTCTGATCCGGATCCAGGTGAAACCTGTAGATAAAGCTAAGGGTGTAGTACAGAAGTAGAAATATGACAAGATCAGGCCACACCAGCTTGTAGATACTGCCTCTCCATCTGAAACAAATTATACATTCAGTCTTCTGAAAGGACTGAGACACTTGTGTAGGATATTAGAATTTCTAAAGGGATTTCTGAAATTCGGGGGCCACGCAGTAGCGTAGTTGGATGAGGCGCTATGCTACATGCCGGAAGGTCGGTCGCGGGTTCAAATCCCGATGAGGTCACTGGATTTTTTTCAATTGACCTAATCATTCCAGCCACACTATGGCCCTGGGGTCGACTCAGGCTCTAACAGAAATGAGTACCAGGAATTAATTAAATAATGTTCCTGGGGAGTATCTTTGAGCCGACTGTCTAGATAATGTGGGACCCTCAACGTCTCACAACCCTATGGGCCTCCACGGCCTGGTACAGGGATAGCTTTACTTTTTACTTTTTATGCAGCACATTCAGGTTGCTGAAAGAACTTGGATGTTGTTGTTGCACACAGAAATTACAGAAGCCAAGGCCTTCAGAATATTTATTAGAATTTACTCCCTGTTCAAAAGTGAGCGTTTGAGTGGCAACATGAGACCATCCCTCCATAAAGCACTGAATAGATCAGTAATGACTTATGCTTGCCCCCCCCCGGCGAATTAACGGCAGACACCTGCCTCTTAAAATTGCAGCGCCTCTAAAACAAGGTTCTCCGCAACGGTGTAATTTTCCAAGGTGCACGTCGACCCGCGATTTGCACACAGCTTTCAACCTTCCGTATGTCATCATCATCAGTAATCTGTCAAGACGACAGGTCCACAGTCTCTTCCAAAACAGTTCCTCCATTTAATGCGATCTAGAGCTTTCTCCTTCAAATGACAGTATCCTCTTCTGTCCCCAAGGTCATCCAGCATCTTCGTACGTCCTCTTCCTCGTCTTCTTGTCACTTCTATCCGCCCCTCTATCTTTCCTTCGATAACTTCTTTTAGAAGGCNTGCTCCAAATGTAGCATTTCACTAGTTTCTTCCTCAAATTTAAGTCCAATTTGCTGGTAAAAAGATTCTTCTTCTTGCTAAATGCAGCTTTTGCCATGGCAATCCTGGATTTAATTTCACTAGTACACCTTCCATCATCTGTTAACAAGCTACCCAAATATTTAAAACATTTCACATTCTTCTGTATGTATACGGTGATATAACAGAAGTGTGCAGGCAACAAGCAGAAATCATACAGAATCATGAGAATGAACATATTCGCGGTATAGGTCAAGGCGAAGCCAGACATAAAAATATAAGAGGCTTAAACTTGGCGGTGGTCAAGCTTACGACCGTTCAAGTAACTAAGCTGCCGCTATAGCGTGAATTACTTATGATAGGGCATAGTCTGCTGTTCTCATCCTGGACTAACAGAGGTCTCGTACTGTATATATTTTACACACAAATGTATATATTGTTTTCTACCGCATAGTATACATGGGAAACTGTAAATAGTATTGTGACGTGGATGGCGGAACGGGAAGTGGGAGTCACCTGACTTTTACTACTGTGACTCTGACAAAGGACAGACCCATCATCTCGTCAGAAAGGGCGCCCTACCTCGACAAAACCGTAACTGTGTAACAGTAACTAAGATTTGGTCATGAGTCCCAGAAGGGGATCGACACTAAGACGGACAGACTGACTGACTTACTGTCGCGAAGTGACTTTGACTTTGATGCTCGGCTTACCTTTACCTTACAGTAACGGCCATAAATACGTACGCGCTATCAATCCTCTCTCTCCCTCTCTTATTCTTTCTCCGTTTCTTTGTATTTTCAAATAAGGCCATTTCATGTTCGCGAGCTGAGAAATTCCAACCACAGGCCACAAAGGTTAAACGTGAGTAAAGATAACGCAAAAAGTTGTCCCTGTGCTTAATTCCTTAAGCATCACACGTGACGACATAAGGCAGATTGGAGGTACATCTCCGCCATTCATGTCCTCGGCAGCAAATGGAGGTGTGCGGACAGCTTCGCGACGTAACCGCTTTAACCCCGGGGAAACACACCCGGTACCCACTGGAGAGGAGACGGGGTGGGCCCCACACCAGGTCTGGACACCGTGGAGAGGAGAAACATCTGTTGCTCCTGTAGGGAAGCTAACCCGTCGCTATACCGACTGATAATAAGACTGTTGTTGGCAAATGTTTTTGTTATTTATCTTAGAGAGATAGGATGGGATGGTAGGGATTTGATTGATCTGGCTCAGGATGGAGACCAGTGGAGGGCTCTTGTAAACACGGTAATGAACCTTCGGGTTCCATCAAATAGCGAGAATTTCTTGAGTAGCTGCAGAATTGGCGGCTCCTCAAGAAGGGCTCAGCTCCATGAATAAGTAAGGCTGTCGGTTTACTGATGCGTGACGGCGTAGCGCGTCAAGGCGGGACGATGATGTGACAAGGACAACGTCACACGGGTGAGCCCACATAATTGCCCCACAACTGTTAATAACCAACTCACCATCACTTTACTGAGCCAAGCATAAATCTGCGAGTGTCCAAAGCCTTTCATATCCACATCTGTAAATTACTTTCGGAAGGTATTTGGTTCGAATCCCAGTAGGCGACGGATATCCTGAGAGGTTTTCTAGATTTCTTCTACATCTCCACCAAACATCGCGTTTAAGCAGTCTGTACTCCTGTTCAGTATTCGGGAGTCCCAGTTTCGATTCTCGGCCCAAAGAACTTCGTTTGAAGATTTTTCGTGATTTCTAGTGCCCCCTTCAGATATACGCCGGCATTGTGTTTTAAAAATATACCACAATAGCTTCCTTTTCTTCATCAATAATTCAACACATTCGAAGATATACGAGTATATACAAACTCTGTAGCTGAATACGTGTCCCTAAGTACACTGAAAAGCACCTCAATATTTGTAGATAACGGCCCCGATAGCAGCCTACACTAAAATAGGCCACGACAGCTTCCTTCCACGGCTTTCAGAATTAATCACACTCGTACAACCCTTCCATTCAAAGAAGACGTCGTTAAGTAAATTCGTCTCTGTGCTATGAAGGCGTATGGGGGAGTGGATGTATAGATCCACATTTTTCTTGACCTCGGCAGTAGTTGGAGGTGAGCGGTCAGGTTCACGCCCCGGCCGCCTTACCCCCCGAAAAGAGCCCTAGGTACCCATTGTATAGGAGGTTGGGTGGACCCCAGAGCCGGCCTGGACGACATGGAGAGAAAATTCTTGACCCTACGGGACTCGAACTTTGACCCCTCGGTCGTCCAGCCCATAGCCAGTGGCTCAGTCATAAAGTAAAGAAAGAAATAAACCTGAGACTGGATAACACCTTGAACAGGACACGGGAACCTGCTCCCACGTTTCTCCCTAATCGTCATGCAGTTATCCTACAGAAATATCTTTATTTTGCAACAGATGGTACCAACCTCAGCAGTTCAAACAGGGCTACAAACGAACAGATTCTGCACACACTGCTGCATGGGTGCTCATTACATTTCAGTTTCGTAACTGTAGGCTGAGAAGCATTACGAACTTTAGTTTTATATCAATGTTATGTTGGCCACCGTCCAACCTGTGAGGTAAGTTCATATTTCACAAACTCTGTGTAAAACATCTATGTGGGTGCGCCCCTATTGTAGCGATGTGGATCGTTACGTAATCATTAAATCGTATTTGCTGTGCATGATGGGAATGAAAGTGGTCCTACCTGAGACTTCACCGAACACACAGGTTGCCTGCTTCATCTGCAGTTACTCTGGGAACAAGAGTGCCTTATCTTCATTTAGTGACGCAGAAAGTTACCAGAATGTATTTTAACATACTTTCAATATTCATACGCCGGTGGGAAATTCGCGTTTACATAAACAGGACTCTTCCTCCGTAAGGTTCTCTATACAACAGCCACGGGTCAGTTCTTTATGGAACCAAGTGACTTTCATGATGCCCCCATAAATAAAGCGCTACATTTCGTTCGAAGTGTGGGATTAATAACGGGTTAATCCAAAGGGGAAGCCCAATAGATCATTGTTGTTCGCGGTGCAGGGGCCGGTTTTATGGCCCACTACACTGTCCACACAAAGTGGGGCATATCCTGGTTCACGGTGTAGATGGATTCTATAATATACACTCAAAGATGCTTTAGAAAGAGAGTATAGTCCCTACGTAAAGTTTCGGTACTTCGTTCTACTCCCATCTTCAGGTGACTTCTTAAAATTGTACCTTCAGATTCTTTATTACCATTATGGTCTTCTGGGCTGAGACGCCGTGTAATTTGACAGATACATACTGACGTTTCGGAGGAACATGTTAACTCCAGCTTCATGTAGAAGAGAGGCCGTAATCTCAGTTCTCCGCGTCGGGAGAACCTCAAATCCCACGGGCTTGTTATCAGTTTTCATTTTGAAAATAGCGGTAATGTTGGGATCAGTCCGGGACCCTCTGAAAGCTAGGCTAAATCGTTAGCAGCTACAGTAGAGCCAGCATTCGAAAAGTTGTGCAGGCCACAGCAAATATGCCTCAGGCAACTGCCGGTAGGCCTAAAATGGTTGTTTGGAATAACACGTAACAACTCTATTTTTCTTTTTTGTACAAGGCGCATCTTGCGAAGGCATAACTGAACGGTCATGGGCGTCCGTCTACATGTCTCTCCGCTCATTTTTAAGTACTCTAATGACATCGAGAGAACTTGGTACTGGCAAGTCTGTACCAGAAGTTCAGGAGCGAATTCAGCGTCGGTCCGCATCGCGTCAGTGCCCGCTCTGCATAAAGCTAAGGTCGAAATGTATCGTCTCCAAAAGACACGACGTGCAAAATACTGTCACACAAGATCACACTGAAGTGTATAACATTAGTCGTCGTCGTAGGCGTCATCATTAACATCATCATCATGTTTAAGGCCATGTTTTGTCTGCTCCGTCCTCTTAAAGAGCACGCTGACCCAGCCATCGTAACTGGGGGCTCCTCATATTTCGTCATCTTATTGGGTTGTATGTTAAAATTTTCTTTGGAATCCTCTGTCTTCAGTTCGTAGAACGTAATATTTCTACCCCGATCTGGATTTAGATTAAAAATATTA